CACCCTCATCCCTCACCTCCTCATCCCTCACCCCTCCATCCCTCCCACCCCTCATCCTCCACCCTCATCCCCTCACCTCCCTCCTCACACCTCCCTCCCCCTCACCCTCCACACCCCTCATCCCTCACCTCCTCATCCCCTCTCCCTCACCCTCCTCCTCTCCCTCCTCCTCATCCCTCACACCCCCTCATCCCTCCCCACCCCTCATCCTCCCCTCATCCCTCCCACCCCTCATCCCTCACACCCCTCATCCTCCCCACCCCTATCCCTCACCTCCTCATCCCTCACCCCCCTCATCCCCTCCACCCTCATCCCTCCCCACACCCCTCATCCCTCCCACCCCTCATCCCCTCACCTCTCATCCCTCCCCTCCCTCATCCTCCCTCTCATCCCTCACCCCTCATCCCTCCACCCCCTCCATCCCTCCCCCCTCATCCCTCACCCCTCATCCCTCACACCCCTCATCCCTCACACTCCTCATCCCTCACACCCTCATCCACACCTTCATCCTCACACCCCTCATCCCTCACACTCCTCATCCCTCACACTCTCATCCCTCACACCTCATCCTCACACTCATCCTCACACCCTCACCTCACACCTCATCCTCACACCTCATCCCTCACACTCCTCATCCCTCACACCCTCACCCCTCACACCCCCTCATCCCTCACACTCCTCATCCCTCACACCCCATCCCTCACACCTCATCCCTCACACTCCTCATCCCTCACACCTCATCCCCCACACTCATCCCTCACACCCTCACCCCATCCTCACACCCCTCATCCCTCACACCCTCATCCTCACACTCCTCATCCTCACACCCTCATCCTCACACCTCATCCCTCACACCTCATCCCTCACACCCCCATCCCCACACCTCATCCTCACACCCCTCATCCCTCACACCCCCATCCTCACACCTCATCCCCTCACCCCCATCCCTCACACCCCTCATCCTCCCACACTCCTCACCCCACACCCTCATCCCTCACACTCCCCTCATCCCTCACACCCTCATCCCTCACACTCCTCATCCCTCACACCCCACCTCACACTCCCCATCCCCACACCCTCATCCCTCACACTCTCATCCCTCACACTCCCCATCCTCACACCCCCATCCTCACATCTCATCCTCACACCCTCATCCCTCACACCCCTCATCCTCACACTCCTCATCCTCACACCCTCATCCTCACACTCCTCATCCTCACACTCATCCTCACACCCTCATCCTCACACTCCTCATCCCCACACCCTCATCCCTCACACTCACCCTCACACTCCCCATCCCCACACCCCCATCCCCTACACCCCCATCCCCACACCTTCCCCATCCCTCACACCCCTCATCCCTCACACCTCATCCTCACACCCCTCATCCCCACACTCCCTCAACCCCTCACACCTCATCCCTCACACCCCCTCATCCCTCACACCCCTCATCCTCACACCCCCTCATCCTCACACCTCTCATCCTCACACCTCTCATCTCACACCCTCATCCTCACACCCTCATCCTCACACCCCCATCCCTCACACCCCCATCCCCTCATCCCCACACCTCATCCCTCACACCCTCATCCCTCACACCCCTCATCCCCACCCTCATCCCTCATCCTCACACCTCATCCCCACACCTCATCCCCACACCCTCATCCCACTCACCCTCATCCACACTCATCCTCACACCTCATCCCACACTCTCATCCTCACACCTCATCCTCACACCTCATCCTCACACCTCATCCTCACACCTCATCCTCACACCCTCATCCTCACACTCTCATCCTCACACCCCTCATCCTCACACCTCATCCCTCAACCTCTCATCCCCCTCACCCCTCATCCCCACACACCCCTCATCCTCACACCCTCATCCCTCACACCTCATTCCTCACACCCTCATCCCTCACACCTCATCCCCACCTCATCCTCACACTCTCATCCTCACACCCTCATCCTCACACCTCATCCTCACACCCCTCATCCTCACACCTCATCCTCACACCCCTCATCCCTCACCCCCTCATCCCCACACTCCTCATCCCTCACACTCTTATCCTCACACTCCCCTCATCCTCACATCTCATCCTCACACCCTCATCCCTCACACCCCTCATCCTCACACCTCACCTGTATGTGTCTCACTGCTCTCTCTCACGTCCATCAACAACTTATAACCTTTCCTCAATAGGTCATACACTCACCTCTTACGTGACCCAACTGACTCATATATTCTCGTTTTCTTATCCAAGGTTTACTGTACCTTCTCCATCAACCTGACCTTCCTGGTCCATCACACCTCCACCTTCCTGGTCCATCAACACCTGACCTCCTGGTCCATCAACACCTGACCTTCCCTGGTCCATCAACACCTGACCTCCCTGGTCCATCAACACTGACCTCCCTGGTCACCCATCCCCCCTTCCTGGTCCATCAACACCTGACCTTCCCTGGTCCATCAACACCTGACCTTCCCTGGTCCATCAACACCTGACCTTCCCTGGTCCATCAACACTGAGTTAATAATAAATATTTATGTTAACAACAGTACAAGTTATATGGGGTTACTAGTATGTTAGTACTACTTTTATCTGGAGTGTTTTAAAAACTTTTTACCAATAAAACAAAGTTAAGATATTTTTGGTCTGGAAGTGTTCAGAACCGCCATGGACTGGACGTGTTGTGGGGACTTTCCACTGACCAAGCTGTGGTGTTTCTGCTCTACCAGTGTATTACTAATAATATTAAGATATACTGTACTGTACTTTCTTAACTTTGTAATAATATCTAACTTGTAGTGAATACATCCTTAGTAGGTCCTAAGTCACGCTATAGTGAACAGTTGGAGAATTCTTATAAAAATTTGTGGTAAAAAACATCATAGTCACTATCTGCAACCTTGTACAATATCGTGTATACTGTTGTGTCGGCCCAGCAGGTGTGGAGGAAGTCCTGCTCACCATGTACACTATATTAGCTTTATATAAAGACCTGGAGATTATTAGTGAATATTTTACCTTATAAACATTTAACTGAGTCATAATTCCTGAAAAAGAAAAAGAATAGTTAATGATTTAGTGTCCAGATGTATGAGTAGACAGAGGTAAAGATACATGGCTGTTGAGGTGTGTTAAGTGCAAGACCAAGTTAAAGCTTTACTATCCAGTCATGAACATTTATAAATACGGTACTAAGTTAATTAATAAAAAATACAGTATATATTTATTTGTATGTTGAGTTTACGTGTGTGTGTGTGTGTGTGTGTGTGTGTGTGTGTGTGTGTGTGTGTGTGTGTGTTGAGACAGCTGCCACAGTGATGAAGTAAACATTAACTCCTTCACTTGAGATAAACAATGACCTTTAACCTTACTTTCTTACGTTACTACTACTGCTATTTTTTTAATAGCCTCCAGCCTCCCCCAATATTACTACTACTACTACTACTATTACCAACATTATACTACCACCACTACCAACAACCCTTACTACCAGTACAACCACTAATAACACTACTACCACCAACCCATATTATAACGATTATCACTACGACTACCACCACTACCAACACACCTTATTATCACTGTTATCACCACTACCACCACCCTTACTACCACTATTAACACCAATACTACCAACACTACCAAAATTTTAGACCCCCCCCCCAGGTGATGAGTGTCGGTGCATAGATGACAAGTTTGACTGTGATCTCTGGTTCTCATCCCCTTGACAACCAGCCCCTCCATATGCAGTCCCCTTCACTAGTGCGTTTACAGGGGCTCGTCATATAAACATTCCACAAATCATTACATTGAGAAATTTGTTTGAATATTGTTTTACTTTGATTCCTCATGTTTACTATTGCGAGTTTCCTTCTGTCGAGTGAGCATTAACGGCACTAAATCCGATTGGAGTAACGTCACGAGTGGAGTACCCGAAGGCTCAGTACTTGGACCATTACTATTTATTATATGCATAGACGACATAGATATCGGCGTAGACAGCAACATAAGTATGTTTACTGATGACACTAAAATAGGGCGTGTAATTAAATCTGACGACGACTTCGCAAAACTACAGGATGATCTAAACCAATTTTTCGAATGGTCTGAAAAATGGCAGATGAAATTCAATGTGGACAAATGTAAAGTACTTAATCTAGGAGATGTAAACAGGGAAACCAGATACCAGATGAACAACGATGTTATAGAGAAATCCGACTGTGAGAAAGATGTAGGATTAATGATAAGTAGGAATCTTAAGCCAAGTAAACAATGTGTATTTGCTCGAAACAAGGCTAATAAAGTACTTGGGTTCCTACAAAGGAGTGTTAGTTACAAGACTAGCGAGGTCATCCTAAAACTATATCTTGCGCTTGTGAGACCTCACTTGGATTACGCAGTTCAGTTCTGGTCACTGTATTACAGAATGGAAATAGAATCCTGGAAAGAATTCAGAGGAGAATGACAAGAGTAATCCCGCATTAGGAACCTTGAGCAGAGACAGGTTAAAGCATCTTAATTTGCACTCGAGAGACGTAGAGCGAGGGGCAACCAATAGAGGTGTATAGAAGGGCTAAACAAAGGGACATTACAAAGGTACCTAAACTACCCATCCAGGAGCGAACTCGTAACAATGGTTTTAAATTTGCCGAATTTAGATTTAGGCGCGAAATAGGTAAACATTGGTTTGGAAATAGAGTAGGAACAAGTTACCAAATTTCATCATTAACTCGTATACGCTGGATAGATTCAAACATAGGTGCAATAGGCCCGCTGCAGTTTCCCCATTCTTATGGTCTTATGATAAGCAAACACAAGGCTGCCACACTGCACAAAGTCTGACGAGTCACTATAAACACACCAGTGAAGGGAACTGTACCTCATGTAACTCACCTTCCATTGAAAGTTGACAGAGAATATGATTATCCTCGACTGACTCCCAACAACTACCACGTGTGTATAAGAGAAACTAACTCGTGATGAACGTACCCACTAGCGGCGGACCTGATGTCGATGGCGTCAGGGTCATCCTGAGAGCGGTTGAGCTTGCCCAGTGTGAGGAAGGAGTCTGCCAGCACCGCCTTGGCAGTAGCCAGGTCCTGAGAGAGACGACTCACCAGAGAGCCCGCCCGCTGAGCCATCTCGTGTAGCCCCACCAGCGAGGTCTCGTTCTCTGAGTCATTCTCAATACGGTCCAGACGGCCTCGAGTCTGCGGGCGAGGGACAACGTTAACTGATGTCTGTGTAGGGTTGTTGTGTAGGGTTATGTCTGTACAGGGTTGTTGTGTAGGGTTATGTCTGTACAGGGTTGTTGTGTAGGGTTATGTCTGTACAGGGTTGTTGTGTAGGGTTATGTCTGTGTAGGGTTGTTGTGTAGGGTTATGTCTGTGTAGGGTTGTTGTGTAGGGTTATGTCTGTACAGGGTTGTTGTGTAGGGTTATGTCTGTGTAGGGTTGTTGTGTAGGGTTATGTCTGTGTAGGGGTTGTTGTGTAGGGTTATGTCTGTGTAGGGTTGTTGTGTAGGGTTATGTCTGTGAAGAGTGTTGTGTAGGGTTATGTCTGTACAGGTTGTTGTGTAGGGTTATGTCTGTGCAGGGTTGTTGTGTAGGGGTTATGTCTGTGTAGGGTTGTTGTGTGTAGGGTTATGTCTGTGTAGGGTTGTTGTGTAGGGTTATGTCTGTGTAGGGGTTGTTGTGTAGGTTATGTCTGTACAGGGTTGTTGTGTAGGGTTATGTCTGTACAGGGTTGTTGTGTAGGGGTTATGTCTGTGTAGGGTTGTTGTGTAGGGTTATGTCTGTACAGGGTTTGTGTAGGGTTATGTCTGTGTAGGGTTATGTCTGTGTAGGGTTGTTGTGTAGGGTTATGTCTGTGTAGGGTTGTTGTGTAGGGTTATGTCTGTACAGGGTTGTTGTGTAGGGTTATGTCTGTGTAGGGTTGTTGTGTAGGGTTATGTCTGTGTAGGGTTGTTGTGTAGGTTATGTCTGTGTAGGGTTGTTGTGTAGGGTTATGTCTGTGTGTAGGGTTGTTGTGTAGGGTTATGTCTGTGTAGGGTTGTTGTGTAGGGTTATGTCTGTACAGGGTTGTTGTGTAGGGGTTATGTCTGTGTAGGGTTGTTGTGTAGGGTTATGTCTGTGTAGGGGTTGTTGTGTAGGGTTATGTCTGTGTAGGGGTTGTTGTGTAGGGTTATGTCTGTACAGGTTGTTGTGTGTAGGGTTATGTCTGTGTAGGGTTGTTGTGTAGGGTTATGTCTGTGTAGGGTTGTTGTGTAGGGTTATGTCTGTAGGGTTGTTGTGTAGGGTTATGTCTGTGTAGGTTGTTGTGTAGGGTTATGTCTGTGTAGGGGTTGTTGTGTAGGTTATGTCTGTGTGTAGGGGTTGTGTAGGGTTATGTCTGTACAGGGTTGTTGTGTAGGGTTATGTCTGTGTAGGGTTGTTGTGTAGGGTTATGTCTGTGTAGGGTTGTTGTGTAGGGTTATGTCTGTGTAGGGTTGTTGTGTAGGGTTATGTCTGTGTGTAGGTTGTTGTGTAGGGTTATGTCTGTGTAGGGTTGTTGTGTAGGGTTATGTCTGTGTGTAGGGTTGTTGTGTAGGGTTATGTCTGTGTAGGGTTGTTGTGTAGGGTTATGTCTGTGTAGGGTTGTTGTGTAGGGTTATGTCTGTGTAGGGTTGTTGTGTGTAGGGTTATGTCTGTGTAGGGTTGTTGTGTAGGGTTATGTCTGTGCAGGGTTGTTGTGTAGGGTTATGTCTGTACAGGGTTGTTGTGTAGGGTTATGTCTGTGTAGGGTTGTTGTGTAGGGTTATGTCTGTGTGTAGGGTTGTTGTGTAGTTATGTCTGTGTAGGGTTGTTGTGTAGGGTTATGTCTGTGTAGGGTTGTTGTGTAGGGTTATGCTCTGTAGGTTGTTGTGTGGGTTATGTCTGTACAGGGTTTTGTGTAGGGTAAGGTCTGTAGGGTTGTTGTGTAGGGTTATGTCTCTGTAGGGTTGTTGTGTAGGGTTATGTCTGTGTAGGGTTGTTGTGTAGGGTTATGTCTGTGTAGGGTTGTTGTGTAGGGTTATGTCTGTGTGTAGGGTTGTTGTGTAGGGTTATGTCTGTAGGGGTTGTTGTGTAGGGTTATGTCTGTGTAGGGTTGTTGTGTAGGGTTATGTCTGTAGGGGTTGTTGTGTAGGGTTATGTCTGAGCAGGGTTGTTGTGTAGGGTTATGTCTTGTGTAGGGTTGTTGTGTAGGGTTATGTCTGTACAGGGTTGTTGTGTAGGGTTATGTCTGTGTAGGGTTGTTGTGTAGGGTTATGTCTGTGTAGGGGTTGTTGTGTGGGGTTATGTCTGTACAGGTTGTTGTGTAGGGTTATGTCTGTGTAGGGGTTGTTGTGTAGGGTTATGTCTGTGTAGGTTGTTGTGTAGGGTTATGTCTGTACAGGGTTGTTGTGTAGGGTTATGTCTGTGTAGGGTTGTTGTGTAGGTTATGTCTGTACAGGGTTGTTGTGTAGGGTTATGTCTGTGTAGGGTTGTTGTGTAGGGTTATGTCTGTAGGGTTGTTGTGTAGGGTTATGTCTGTACAGGTTGTTGTGTAGGGTTATGTCTGTGTAGGGTTGTTGTGTAGGGTTATGTCTGTGTAGGGTTGTTGTGTAGGGTTATGTCTGTAAGGGTTGTTGTGTAGGGTTATGTCTGTGTAGGGTTGTTGTGTAGTTATGTCTGTGTAGGGTTGTTGTGTAGGGTTATGTCTGTAGGGTTGTTGTGTGTAGGGTTATGTCTGTGTAGGGTTGTTGTGTAGGGTTATGTCTGTACAGGGTTGTTGTGTAGGGTTATGTCTGTGTAGGGTTGGTGTAGGGTTATGTCTGTGTAGGGGTTGTTGTGTGGGTTATGTCTGTGTAGGGTTGTTGTGTAGGGTTATGTCTGTGTAGGGTTGTTGTGTAGGGTTATGTCTGTACAGGGTTGTTGTGTAGGGTTATGTCTGTGTAGGGTTGTTGTGTAGGGTTATGTCTGTAGGGTTGTTGTGTGAGGTTATGTCTGTACAGGGTTGTTGTGTAGGGTTATGTCTGTGTGGGAGGGGTTGTTGTGTAGGGTTATGTCTGTGTAGGGGTTGTTGTGTAGGGTTAGTCTGTACAGGGTTGTTGTGTAGGGTTATGTCTGTGTAGGGTTGTTGTGTAGGGTTATGTCTGTGTAGGGGTTGTTGTGTAGGGTTATGTCTGTACAGGGTTGTTGTGTAGGTTATGTCTGTACAGGGTTGTTGTAGGGTTATGTCTGTAGGGTTGTTGTAGGGTTATGTCTGTACAGGGTTGTTGTGTAGGGTTATGTCTGTGTAGGTTGTTGTGTAGGGTTATGAGTGTTGTGTGTAGGTCACTCGCTCAACATCTTCATCAAGACTTCTCCTCACACTCACCTCGTCCTTCTTGTCGTTGTCCAGAGTCTTAAGTTCAGACTTGAGCTGCTTCTCGTAGGCGCGAGCTGCGTCCAGCTGCCGCAGGAGATACTTACGTTGATCGTGCCGCACTCTTGTCTCCTGCAGCAGGTCAGGGCTTCCCCCACAGTGCATCGCACCTCGGCCCGTAGCACCGCCACGGCCTGATCATGGTCACGAACCTGTGGGGAAGGAGGAGTTGGGTACGTGCTGATGGACACACACACACACACACACACACACACACACACACACACACAAAGAGAGCTGAGTCAGCGCCAGATAGAGACTCATTTAAGGTAAACTCAAAAGTTCAGCCTCATATTCATTAAGTATCGTCACACAATATATGTGTGATCTAAATTTTGCAGAAGTGGTTGTTCTCTACTCTAGGTAGATGTGACGTCACCGAAGGTAAAGACGAATGTCATCCACAATTTGTTGTGGAAATACATCATGTTTTATTGTTTCAAACTCCATATCTAAAAGATTATTATAATATTGTAGATACCTAAACTTCCTCACGTTAACACCAATTATATTAACACCATCATGCTTACACCATCATGTTAACACCATCGTTGCACCATCACTTTAACACCATCATGTTAACACCATCATGTTACACCATCATGTTAACACCATCGCTACACCATCATGTTAAAACCATTATGTTAACACCATCACGTTAACACCATCATGTTAAAACCATTATGTTGACACCATCACGTTAACACCATCATGTTAACAGCATCATGTTAATACTATCATGTTAATACTATCATGTTAAAACCATCATGTTAACACCAACATGTTAGCACCATCATATTAATACCATCATGTTCGCTCTTTGATGTTAACTCCATCATGTTATCACCATCGTGTTAACACCATCGCGTTACACCACTTAACACCATCATGTTAACACCATCATGTTAACACTATCATGTTAACACTATCACCTTAACACCATCATGTTAATACCATCATATTACATTATCATGTTAACACCATCATGTTACACCACGTTATCACCCAAGAGTGAGGAAGTATGTGTGTGTGTGTGTGTCTCACCTTATGCCCCTGGGACTCCCTATGAGCCAACACGGTACAGTCCCTACACAGCGGCAGGCGGCAAGTGTCACACCAGAAGTTAATGCGGGCGGTGTGGGCGGTGCAGGTGTCACGGGCGGGGGCGACGGTGGTCAGGTCGTGCAGGTTGAGGGACGACATGTTGAGCAGGATAGTGCATAGCTGCGTGTTGTCCGGCAGGTCGTCGCACGACTTGGTCTCCGTCACCCGCGAGCAGGAAGGGCATTTTACCTGTGTAGGGCGGGACGATACTACACTTAGTGTAGTAAAATAATAAGAATAATGATAATAAAATAATAATAATAATGATAAAATAATAATAAAATAATAATAATATAATAATAATAACAATAATAATAGTATTGACAAATTAATAATAATAATAATAATATTAATAAAATAATAATAATAATAGCAGGTATGAAAGTATTAATACAGAAGTAAGGATATAGTACTGAAGAAATAAAACCAGTGTATTCGTGTAGACAATACATAAATATATATCCAGGGACATCAATTAACCAAGAATATATTACCAGGAGGTAGAAATACACCAATGTATACATCAAGTAGTGTATTTTACCAGGAGACAATCTTAACCCCTTCAGCACCATGACGTAATCTCTTGAGTACGATGATTTAACCCCGTGAGTACAGCGATTTAAACCCCTGAGTACGACGATGTAACCTTATCTTGATTACGATATCTTGAATCTTTGAAAACGATAACCATTTCCTTTTGAGTATGATGAAACTGTTTTAAAAGAGTTGTAATCATACTCAAAGGGTTAAGTCATCATAATTAAGGGGTTAAAGTCATAATACTTAAAGGGTTAAAGTCATCTTACTCAAAGGGTTGTCATCATACTCAAAGGGTTAAGTCATCATAATTAAGGGGTTAAAGTCATAATACTTAAAGGGTTAAAGTCATCTTACTCAAAGGTTATCATCACCAAAGGGTTACGTCATCATAATTAAGGGTTAAATAACATATTTCTAGGGTTAAAGTCATCTTACTCAAAGGGTTAAGTCATCATACTCAAAGGGTTAAGTCATCATAATTAAGAGGTTAAAGTCATCATACTTAAGGGGTTAAAGTCATCATACTCAAGAGGTTAAAGGGGCTTAATGAACTAGACATTTGAAGGGTAAATATATATATTATGAACAGTTTGAGACATTGAGACTGACCCTGTACAAACTCCATTGAACATCGATGGACAATTGTGGATGGACAAAAATCGTGAACACTTTTTGTCAATATCTGGTGTCGTTTTCTTAAGGTGTGTGTGTGTGTGTGTGTGTGTGTGTGTGTGTGTGTGTGTGTGTGTGTGTGTGTGTGTTATATTTTGAATTGTTTTATTATGAACGCCAAGTGAACGCAACTAGTTAAAGTAGAGTCTCAGTGTAATTATGGCACCATTTTCACCTGTCAAGTGGCACCTAGTGAACGCATAGTTAAGGCAGAGTCACCACGTAACTTTAGTGCCATAATGGATGTTCCTCGCCTTAGCTTTAGTCAGGCGCAGCAGGCAGCGTTTAGAGGCGCAGCAGGTAGCGTTTAGAGGCGCAGCAGGTAGCGTTTTGAAGCGGCCTGGCAAGCTGAGACAATTTATGGCGCTAATTAGTGGAGCGCCGCCGACCAGGGGAGGGGGGGCCTCTACTGGTGCAACAATTACCCAGAGACTCGACTGCCTCACGTCTTTTTGTGCAATTGTCAATAAAACCCATGACGAAGAGTTTTGTGTGTGTGTGTGTGTGTGTGTGTGTGTGTGTGTGTGTGTGTGTGTGTGTGTGTGTGTGTGAGAGAGAGAGAGAGAGAGAGAGAAAGATGAGGGGAAACGCATAAAAGTATGGGCAGGTAAGTGTTATGTCTCTACCTGAGGGGAGGTTAATTAGGCAAGGTGGAGGAGGAGGATGAAGGTGACTGGAAAGTGAGGAAAAGTTAAGGAGGTGAGGGGAGGGAGGGAAGGTGGGAGGAGGGGGGGTGAGGAAGGAGGAAGAGGGGGGAGGAAGGTGAGGAAGAGGGGAGGAAGGAGTGAAGGAATCACCCTGACTGACTCACGACTTACCCTGACTAACTCTTTCTTGACTTACCTGACTGACCGCTCACCTGCTGACTCACAACTTCCCCTACTCTTTCTTGACTCACCTGACTGACTCGACCCCGCCTACTTCTCACGACTCCGACTCCCCCTGACTGACTCGTGACTTACTGACCAACTTTCTTAACTCATCCTGACTGACTCTTAGCTCACCCTGACTGACCTGCAGCTCACCTGACTCACCCTTGGCTCACCTGACTGACTCTTGACTCACCTGACTGACCCTTGACTCACACTCACTGCCTCTTGACTTACCTGACTGACCCTAGCTGACCTGGCCCGACTCACTAATGACTGCCTCTTGATTCCCCTAACTGACTCACCCTGACTGACCTGGCTGACTCCGACTCCCTGACTGCCTCTTGACTCACCCTAACGACTCTCCGCCACCCCTGACTCACTCTAGCTGCCTCTTCCTTAACCCCAGCTCACCTGACTGACTCTTGACTCACCTGACGACCCCCTACCTGCTGCCCTTAACCCCCTGACTGACTCTTGACTCAACCTGACTGACTCATGACTCACCTGACTGACCCTTGATCACCTTGCCGCTAGAGAATGCCTTACGGATGCAGGCAGGGCAGGCGGTGTGGAAGCAGGAGAGGAACTTGGGTCGGTGAGTGCTGTCGTCAAACCTCCGGCAGCAGCCACCACAGGTAAGTACTGACCTGAGGGGCGTCGCCAGGCCCTCCGTCATGCTGGTACGGCTGCCTGTAACACAACACCTGGTCAATAGGTCATCACACACACACACACACACACACACACACACACAGGTTGCCAATATGGTGTAGGTGTTGCAGTTATCGTACATGTAAACATTATATATATAGTCTCCGTTTAAAAAGACTAGATCATTATTTACCAACACAGACGCAACAAACTTAAGTCAATTTTTCTCTCAGCGTGAAGAAAATTTTCCATTAAAATATTTAATGGTTAAGTCGCGTCCGATCACCAGGTAGAGTTAACCAACACAGTGACGTACATGTTTAAAGCGGTGCTGCAGTCTCCGCCATCTATTTTTTTTTTGTTGGTGAGAACACAAAGGACATAGAGGCAGCTGTCTGCACACACACACACACACACACACACACACACACACACACACACACACACACACACCTGCCAGCATTAAGTACACCTGGTCAGTCGCGTGGGTCTGCAGTCACAGCATCAGACAAGGTAAACAAACCTTCTCTTCCGTCCGACAGGTGTAAATTAAAGAGATGTATCTTGTTGTCTTCTCTCTCTCTCTCTCTCTCTCTCCCTCTCTCTCTCTCTCTCTCTCTCTCTCTCTCACCAGGACAAAACAACAACAGCGTCAGAATTTAATGTCCAATGCCAATATTTTGTTTTTTATTGTGGAGCGAACCAATGAGGAGAGACACCCACAAGGAAGCGTAGACGACATAGCTCTCAGCAGCAACAGTACACAGCTGGGTGTGCTCTCCTTCTGTCTGTCACCAACACAAAGCACAGCTAAAGTCCTCGTGTATGCATTCACTTTAAGTCTGCCACACGATATATACCTGAACACACACACACACACACACACACACACACACACACACACACACACACACACACCAAAGGCAATATCCCGCGATTCTTTGTGTGGGGTGATGGGAGAAAGCAAGGTGGGGGTGATGAGAGGGAGGGTGGGTGGGGGTGTCACACAGAGTTACAGTTGGTACACTTTTCCTTCCTTCCTTCCTTCCTTCACCCATCTTCATCCTTCCATTTCCTATACCTACTTTCTCCTCTTCCTCTTCTTCTTCCTCTTCCCTCTCTCTCTATTTCTTTCTTTCTCTCCCTCTCCACCCTTCTCTTCCTCCTCTTCCACACTCTTCTTTTCCATCTCCATCCTCCTATTCCTCCTCTTTGTGTTCTGTTACTGCCCCCTCCACCTCCTCTCTCCTCCGTCCACCCCATGACAGCAGGCAGTTGCCATTCTCTGAAAATCAATTGAAAAACAACCTTCTCTTCCTCTCTCTCTCTCTCTCTCTCCTCTCTCCTCCTCTCTCTCTCCCAAACTTAATCCATGGTGCCCCTTTTAACTTCAACATCCTCCTTAACCTAATCACAGGTTAGGGTAGTTAAGTCATGTTGATTTGGGTTAGGTTGGGATGAGGTGGAGGTTGAGTATGGTAGTTTAGGAAGATAAGGTTAGGTTGAGTTGGGTGAGGTTATACTAATTAGGTTAGGTTAGTCTAGGTAAATCACTAGTTAGGTAAGGTTAGGTTAGGTTGGGTTAAGTGGAGCGAGCTTAGATAAGGTTAGGTTAGGTAGGGTTAGGTTAGGTAGGGTTAGGTTAGGTAGGGTTAGGTTAGGTAAATAAATAGTTAGGTTAGGTTGGGTTAAGTGGGCAGCTTAGATAAGGTTAGGTTAGGTCAGGTAGGGTTAGGTTAGGTAGGGTTAGGTTAGGTTTGGTGAGTAAATAGTTAGGTTAGGTTAGATAGGATACACCTATTTGTGTGTCGTGTTATTAACCTGAGCGACTCGCGTGTTGACAACAGACTCACACAAAGGTTATAAGATTATGACCTGCTGAGAGTCATAACAACTCATAAACTAAGTTATAATGCGTCGCCCTGGCCAAGGATGGGCAAGGGTTAATGAGGTTGGGCAAGGGTTAGTGAGGTTGGGCAAGGGTTAGAGAGGTTGGGCAAGAATGAAAGAAGTTGGGCAAGGATGAGAGAGGTTGGGCATTGTTGAGGGAGGTTGGGCAAGATTGAGAGAGGTTGGGCAAGGATGGGGTTGGGCATTGTTGAGGGAGGTTGGGCAAGATTGAGAGGTTGGGCAGATGAGAGGATGAGAGAGGTTGGGCAAGATTGAGAGAGGTTGGGCAAGGATGAGAGAGGTTGGGCAAGGATGAGGGTTGGGCGATGGGGGAGGTTGGGCAAGATTGAGAGAGGTTGGGCATGGATGAGAGGGTTGGCTATGGGTTGAGGGATTGGTTAGGTTGGTTGGGACGGATAAGTTCGGTTAGGTAAAGTTACTCAATAAATCAA